CACTCTTCTGTTACTGCATTTTGTGCAAAAAACTTCACAAGATAGCTGAACATAATCCTTAAAATACAAAGCTGCAATATTACTGCAAATAACTGTGATTCCTTTAACTTGGCTTTAGCTTTAAATCTGAACAATTTTGAACAAAATTTGCAGGTCTGAAAGGGATATCTTCTGTACCTATTTTACCTTTTTTGGAGTTCCTTCATAGTATAATTAACATTAACGTGCAGTTTGGTCCTCTTTTTCCTAATAGCACAGGAAATTTCTTCCATATGAAACTACTCCCAAGTTCCCCAAAATTAATGGCCATTTCTCTTAATAAATCTAACTAGAATGACGATCTAACTATCTAAAAGGCTTTCGCAGGATTTAATAAACTAAATGAATTAAAATAGTGTTAATAAATGTGCGCCAAAGTACCCAGTCAAATTTCATCATGAAAGTTGCTTGGTCTTGGGCGACTACTGTGCATATATCTAGAAAGGGACCTTCTCCTGAACGCCTTCCTCTGCTTCTTTTTAGCTCCACATTTAACTTCCGTGGACGAGCTAAGCATGACCAGCGTTCGCATCTCATGGCAACAGATGCTAGGAGGTCCGTATAGGGGCGTCGTTACTCTGCAGCCCGAGGGCGGCGTCCTCGGCGGGTCACATTCCTGTTCTGTCAACTCCAGTACTGCCAATGCATTCTGCCTAGTGACCAGTTTGCAGCCAGACTCCCTATACTCTGCCACCGTGAAGGTTTGCTCCATAACCGGCTTCTGCAGCGAGCCGTCACGTCGAGTTTTAGTGCACACCCTCTTTGGTGAGTCCTTGATGACGTTCGGTCGCATCATTTAATTAATTCCGCAAAAGGTGCCTACTGAGTAAATATAAGTAACTATTTTTACTTATGTGTTTGATAGACGCGACAGTGATGAACTTCAACATACTGGGCCCACACGAGATGTTTGCAAGCTGGAGGGAAGAGAAACCCCATCCCAGCACGAGCTATAGGCTGCATGTAAACAACCAGGAGCACGTGGCCTGTAGACAACCGACCCTGGAGGGGAAGAAAGAAAACCATATCTGCCACATCACTGGTCTCCGGGCGAACACGAGTCACGTATTGCAGCTATATCTTTGTCCCGATAAGTCTGCCTCCTGTCATCGGGCATCGCACCCACATTTTGCAAGAACACCGGCTGTTCGGGGTACGTCCTCTACCTCTGTGTTTTGGCGTGCTAACAGTTGTAAAAGCAGTCAAAATAGCACACGCATGCAGCAGATGACCCGACTTCTGTATTGTTCCCTTTGTTTCAGTGGTGGACGATAGACCGCCGCAAGAACTATCAATAAACGCTATTGGCCCTAATACTGCGACAGTCAAAATTAATCACACAGACGATGGCTCTACTTACTTCGTCGTTGCCTCCCCCTTTAACACCTTATTCTCCCTTCAAAACAACACGAGCAAACGCTGCAAAATGGTCAACGTTACGGGAAGTCTAACCTGTCGCCTGCAGGATCTTCCTCCAAACACAATCCATCAGTTGGACATCCATAAATGCCATCCCGCCGGCGGAAACTGCACTCCTCTTTGGACTGTTGGGCATGTCAGGACCCTGCCTGAAGGTAGGTGCTTGCCGCCTCTTCCCATTCCTCTCCCCGGCGAGCCCCCCAACTAGACGGCGCCGTTTTTCTAGCGAAGATAATGGCAATAATAGTCAGATTGCGCTGAGTTTGCATTTTCTCATAATCTATTGCTCTAGCTCAGGGGTTGGGAACGTGTAGCACGCGAA